GTTGCTTTTGTTGCCTTTTTGTTCTTAAACTCACAATTGCTTATCTTGGTCGGTTAGGCGTTGAGGTTTTCTTTTATATATATATATATATATTTATATATATCAAATTTTATTTAGGGGAAATTACAATCAAGTCCCACAGAAGAAAAATAATTACCAAAAACTCCAATAACAATCTCATCAACAGCTTATAATGACAAGTCTTATAGGAGAATAACAACTTCTGGGACTTGTTTTTTAATTGTTTTCCTTGCTTGAGACCTCATTGCAATTCTCCCTTTTATTTATTAGTAGTAAAATTGTTTTCATTGAAAAGACGAGAGAATATGCATGAGCTGCTCAAGGAGGTGGCTTGTGTTAGGATATTTGAATTTATTGGCAATAAGTACTACTCTCCGGTCCTTAATAAGAAAACGCGTCACATTTCTTATAATTAACTAACTTACTTAACTTTTTTAATCTAATAAAATTAGTTAAATAAGTTTTATATTAATAACTGGAAGAATATTAGATAAACATGATAAAATTTCTGCTTACTCTGTGAACCTTGCACTTCTTCACAATTGTTCTTATTATAAGTTTAATGTTATTTCTAAAGAATTTTTCTTCATTTTAAATCCTTTTCAGTTAGTTTATTCTCATACGTACTTTGTGAACTTTGCTTTTTTTTTATTTTAGTATCATTTTGTCTTTGGTTCAAAAAAAACAGAGGTGTTCTGACAATTCAATTTGCTTTTAAATTTTAAGTTGTTGCCCATGTTTCCTTCTTCCATCGAACCATTTATGATCAATTCACATGTTTTCCCCAACTATAAGCAGCTTGAATACTCTAATTCTCCAGCTTTGACATCACTGAGATAGTCCACAAATGGGGCTAATCAGTAAGTCCACAAATGCCCCATGCCTAGGATTTTTTAAAACAAAATTATGTAATTTAAACACTTTTCAAACAAAAAGGAAAATGACTCTCAAAATTAACACAATGTTTTTTTTTTTTAAAAAAAAAAAGCTTGATAAAAACCTGCAACAAATTATGCAGTACCATATTTCAAGGGAGTAAAATTCATCATCCTATACAACTTCTATCTCACATACTAATTACTCGAATAGTACCACTTGAGGTGAAATTACAGACCTCATCTTATATACATAATCAGGATAACGTAATAATGGAACTGCCACATCACCCAACTTTTAGCACATTTCAGAACTGCAGCTGTTCTTCAGTGTTTAACTTTTGTTTAATATTCAGAAGTGACTCAGTAATTTGACCTAAATCCGCTGGACAATGATGTGCACTAACATTTTCCCCTGCCCACCTTTAACACATGGATCCAGTCAAGTGTTTGTGTTTAAATGTATTTTACAGAGATAGAGAGAATTTTATTGGATGAAATAAGAATATATAAAGAACAAAAACTTTTTGTGTTACTACACTGGATTACTTCATGGATCCACATACTTAACTGGATTCAGATCTCATCCGATGTTCCAAGAATAAAGGATTGTGTCCAGCATCTAGTATTGTAGGTGCAGTCACTGTGATTGTGCAACATTCTCGGAGATCTCTGCAGATCAATATATTGATGTATGGGATTAAATTTCAGAAAATGTAAAACAAAATGACGTTCTCAAACCAATTAAAAGCAAAAGACGATCCATATTTCAAACCCCACCTCTGTAGTTGAAAAGTAAAATCGTTCGGAGCAAAATTTACTGTAGTGGAAACTCTTTCTGGAGAAGGTCAAGGTTTCGTGAATCACAAGCTTCCAGCATGTCATTCCTGGAAGCACAACTGAAAAAGTGGGGGGGGGGGGGGAATGAAAATTACAAAGATCCGCAAGACGTACCAAGGATCATAGCTCCTATGAGTCTATGACTACCCATTTCATATCCGCATATTTACTTTTAGGTTAAAATACACAAGGAAATGATTTCAAAAGAAACACACGAGGAAATCATACCTCAGAGAGATTCTTAGATATTGCCATGCATTATCAGCTTTAGGATTCATAGCGAGTGCTCGAACATAATACCTAATGGACTCATCATACAAGCCCTAAAGGAGGAGAAAATCCTATTCAGCCGAATTCACAAGATGAAGTCACACCCAAAAAAAGGAAAATCAAAGCTGTAAGCAAAGTTTCATGCTACTAAACACATTGAATTTTGAGTCATATTTAGAAAAAAAATCAGCAATTTGTTCCACTCATTGCATTGCCTCGTCCAATTGCAGAGTTCATATGAAGAAAGAGTTTTATCATATGCTTATTTTACTTGAGAAGCTCTATCTATGCAACACGTTAAACATTAGCATACGGTGAACTCAACACCATAATCATAGATAATTTAAGTGCAGTTCGTCATATCAGATTCTCTAATCACAAATTTATGATTCTACAATATTAACATGGCAACTGTACAGTTTTGGAAAACCACTCTATTTGCAAAATCCATATGCTTGTAATCCTAATTATTAAAGAATCATACACTTGACTTTTAATTGAAGAACCTGGTACTAAAGACATAAGAGACTGCATAAAAGTTTTGTTCATAATAACAATGATGCTATAATGAAAATATATCCCAAGCTTCTGCATTACTATTAGGCTAATTCATATTGAAGTTTGCGACTTCAGACTACTGCCTACTATGGGAAATAAAGAATAATGACCCATATAAAGACCGAAAAGAGTGTCTTTGGATCATGCAGACTTCTTTATCATGACTTTTTGTTTCATAAAAACTTATGGTTTCTCTAATCAGAGCAAGGCTTTGCTACTGACTTCAATTAAATAGAAAAAAGGACAACGAGACGAGAGGATGATGGGGAATCATCTTTCTCTGCATAGAGCATTCAAATGTAGCACACAACTCTCACACACTCCACTTCCTCTTGCTTCGTGGTGAACTCTGAAATCTAGAACTAAAACAGATTCAACCAACATAGCTGCCATGGATTTTCATCAGCATGTTCAGCATACATATTAATGCATCAATAACAAATAAAAACTAAAAAGGAAAAGAGAATCTTGAATCTCCTTCCAACATCATAAAATTTGACAATGATAACAAGCGAAAACCCAAGAAGCGTACACACCTGGTTTGCATAACTGATTCCCATATTTGCCCATGCTCGAACATAATTAGGCTTCAAATCTAAAGCCTGGAAACCAAGATAACTCATTATAGAAATCAATTTGAGGACCAAGCATATAACTAACGACAAAGGAATGTAATTTTAATTCATTCCACTGTTAGAGGAAAACTCAAAATCCCATCAAAAGCAGAAAAGAAAGGTAGGATTTGTAATTGAGAAAAAAAAAAAGAGAGAGAAGAAAGCAGGATCACCAGAAAAAAGGGAAAACTACAAACTGGAATCAAATCAACCAACTCTTTATGATATCAACCATAGAATAATATACGGGGGCAAATAAGTGTTTGCCAATACTTGAGAGCCCAAAATTTCAAGGAAGCTTGCTTTGATTTTACTGTAATTGCATGGGAGAGAGGAGAAATAACAATCTTTTAGCATATACCCCAAGAGAACTGAAATCCTGACAGAATTGAGCTCTAATGAAAATATTAATAATTAAAAAAAAATGAAAAAATACATCCATATTTCAGAAAAAATATCCTTAGTGTCCATATATTTTATTTTCATTTCCTCGGTGCTCATATCATTTTCTTGGATTCTTATTTGTGACTCTCTTTCTCCTTTTTGCTCCATCACGAGAATGGCACTAACTACGTACTTTTACATTTACCTAATAAAACCTTCTATATAGAGTAACCTTCATAACGTCCTCCAGATCAAAAGACAGCATAACCCAACAAGCATTTGCCACATGAAGAAACCAGTTCAAGAATCGAACCCACTGACAGAAGTTCTAACAGTAACAAGCTCTCCCCACAAGGCTGTCTATAAGAACAGTGGGAACCCCCTAATAAGGGCATGAAGGTCTTGATCTCTTGTAATTTCCTCAAACTAAACACTTGAACTCTTTCTTCAATATACCCAGAGAAAACAACTCTCCTCATGTAATTTTACTCCATCAAACCTTATATCTTTCTAAGAATAATCCTCATAGTGTCCTCTATCTTATAAGACAGCAAAAGCCCACAAGCACTTGCCACTTGAGGAAACCAATTTAAGAATTCAAGCAACTTACTGAAGGCCTTACTATACCCTGCTCCTCATAAGGCTGCCCATAAGAATGCTAGTAACACCAAGAACCATGGCCTAACTATACCCAAACTCCTACTCACTCCTAATGCCAACTTAATTGATTCCCCACAAGTTCATTCAACCAAGAGTATCCTTCAAGATATTCTTTCCAATCCTTCAATGAGAATAAGCCAACAAAGAAAAAAAGAAGTCACGCAAATCTCTGCACAACAAAGGCCCAGCTGATACTAAGCATGGCTGCAAGGACTACCCATAACACGCATGCATTCCCCAACCACTAATGATTTCCACCAATCCTAATCATGACAAAGTTACATATGAAGAGGTAATGTAGTCAGCCCTTAATTGAAAACATTATCATCTATCCTCCCATCCAGCGAAGTATTTCACCCTATAAAAAGGCTTTTTAGGTGTCAAGGATATTCAAAAGTTAAAGACTTTGTCAATTTTTTTGTTCGCAGTCTGGATTAAAAGATAGAAAGCTATGATAAGCGTGGTTAACCCCCTCAGACTTTTCTGGAATTTTTTCTTGTTAGCACCAATTTTTGTCACATGCTAGTCTAGGATTCGAGTTTAATGGGATCTGTAAAGATATTATACTTATTAAACATAGTTAATATAGACTTTACCTTTGTGTGTGTGTGTGTGTGTGTGTGTCATTGTACCATTCTCTGAAAGATATAGAAAACATTCATTCTATATTCATACATTCTCCACATGGTATCAGAGCTGAGAGAACGTGAGAAGTAGTAGAGTGTCTGCCCTGTATAGTGCGATATAGTGCGTGAGAGAGAGTTAGGGTTCTGCCTTGTGACGATTCTTGATACATGCGCTTGCTCAGGAGGGACAGAGGGCGCTGATCGACGTTACCCTGAAGTTTCGTGGCCGTCCGACGAGTGCGTGAGGCTAATGCGCCCCCCTAAGCAGCAACGCTCCTTCACGCTTTGTCGCTCGTATAAGCGCGTGGAACAAAGTTTTTGCCAGCAATCTCCTTCTCCAACGTCAACTTGATTTCTCCAGCTAGTCTTTGGTATTATTCCAATTCTGTTTGACACTTCTGTTTGCACAATCTTTTGTTCATTTCTGGTTAGTGCATTCTGTTTAGTCATGGCTGAAAGTAAGTCTATAGTTGAGACTGTTTCAGTTGTTAGCAAGATTACTGATCACAAGTTGAATTGGACAAACATTTTGGATTGGAGAAAAACTATCTGTATCTATTTACGAAGTATTGAGAAGGAAGAACATCTGACAAAAGATCCTCCAACTACGGATACTCGCCAAGCATGGTTAAGAGATGATGCACGGCTATTCTTACAAATTCGCAACTCTATTGATAGTGAGATCATTCCCTCTGTGAATCACTGTGAATTTGTGAAGAACTTAAGGATTATTTAGAATTCTTGTACTCGGGGAAAGGAAATATCTCTCCTGCTTATGAAGTTTGCCAAAGCTTTTTATCGTGCTAAAAAGAAGGACCAACCTCTCAAATCTTACTTTATGGATTTCAAACAAACTTATGAGGAGTTAAATGTGTTAATGCCCCTCATCACTGCTTTGAAGGTTCAGCAAGTTCAACGAGAACAAATGGCTGTCATGAGCTTTCTTATTGGTCTTCCACCAGAATATGAGACTGTTCACTCCTAGATCTCATCTGGATTCGAGATCTCTAGTCTTCAGGATGTCTTCTCCCGTGTTATGAGGATTGAAAACCTCTCATCACTACCTACTAGTATTCCTGCAAGCGCTCTTATCAGTCGAGGTCAAACTGATAGTTGTGGGTCATTTAACCGTGGTGTTTCTAAGCACGGGGAAGCTAACAAGGTGTCTAGTGTAATAGTGTGTTATTACTGCAAGGAGCTGGGCCATACAAAATGTACTTGTTGCAAGCTACAAAACAAGTAGTCAAGGAATAATTCCGCATTGGTGGCATCATCATCAACTGATGACCAGGTTCTAGTTTCAGTTGCTGAGTATGCCTAGTTCTCCAAGTATCAAGAATCACTAAAATTTGCCTCATCAACTATGAGTGCTCTTGCTGCTACAGGTAATAATGATAAATGGATCATAGATTCAGGAGCCATTGATCATATGATAGGTAACCGTCATCTCTTCTCCACTTATAACTCATACGCCAACGCATCTAGCATCACAATCGCTAATAACTCATACTCTCATGTCCTTGGCTCTGGCAACTGTTGAACCCACTCCTTCTATTCACTTATCTTCCATGCTAAATATTCCTGACCTTGCGTATAATCTTCTTCTAGTAAACTCACTTGCCGTTTAAATTGTTGTCTCACTCTTTTCTGATCATTGCTTGATTCAAGATCTTACGATGAAGCAGATTATTGGTAGAGACTATGAATCTGGTGGCCATTATTTTCTTAAAGATACGCTGCCTTGCTCAGTGGCTTGTTCCAGTGGTTTAAATCCCTTTGAAGTACATTATTGTTTGGATCATTTGTCTTTGTCTTCCATTGAAAAGATTTATCCTCAATTTGCAAGTCGTGTCAGTTTGTGAAACATCACTGCCTCCCTCTAATGTCTCGTGTTAATAAACGAGCTGCGTCTCCTTTTGAGTTAATTCACTCTGATGTTTGGGGTCCATGTCAAATTGAGTCCACAGTTGGTTTCCGGTACCTTGTTACTTTTGTGGATGATTATTCTCGTACCACTTGGTTATATTTAATGAAAAATCATTCAGAATTGTTTTCTCACTTTTGTACCTTTTGTGCTGAAGTTAAAAATCAATTTGGAGTCTCTTTATGCACTTTACGAAGTGACAATGCCAAAGAATATTTTTCTACTTCATTTCAATCCTATATGCTTTAGAATGGTATCCTCCATCAATCATCATGCGTAGATACTCCAACTCAAAATGTTGCTGAACGTAAAAATTGACACTTACTTGAAGTAGCATGGGCACTTATGTTTCAAATGAAGGTTCCTAAACCTTTTTGGACTGATGCCATCTCTACTGCTTGCTTTCTTATTAATCGCATGCCTTCCTCTGTTCTTGATGGTCACATTCCTTATACGACTCTTTCCTTCGAAACCCTTGTTTCCAATTAATCCGAAGATTTTTGAATGTGTCTGTTTTGTCCAAGATGTGCGACCTACAGTTTCCAAATCTCTCAAGTGTGTCTTTGTTGGGTACTCTAGACTTTAAAAGGGATATTGATGTTTTTCTTTATTTGGTGTCTGCAGATGTCACATTTCATGAGTCTACTTTGTACTTTTCGACTTCCTCTCCTCCTTCTCCTCTTGAAGAGGAGGATAATCTTTTTGTCTATCCTGTCCTTTTGTCACCGACTTAAGCACCTCCGCCACTAGCTCAAGCCCCAGTTCAACCACCTCCCACCCAGGTTTATACTAGGCACCCCAAGGAGCTTAATGTTGCCAACTCAGATCTAGGCCCTCCATCTTCCACTTCATCGACAGATCTTGTTGTGAGCACTCTTGAGTCACCTCCTGAGAATATCCCCGAGTCTAAGCCAAATCCTATTCCAGTGCCTGACCCTTCACTTGACTTGTCCATTGCCTTACGGAAGGTACACGTACTTACACCCATTCTATTTCGTCCTTTGTTTTTTATACTCATTTGTCTCCTGCTTCTAGTGCCTTTGTTACCTGCTTAGATTCTATCACTATTCCGAGAACACTCCATGAAACCTTAGCTCATCAAGGTTGGCATGATGCAATGGTACTTGGATGTTGGTGGATCTACCTATGGAAAAGAACGCCATTGGGTGTAAATGGGTGTTCACTGTTAAAACAAAAACCGATGGTACTATTGACAACCTTAAAGCTCGTCTTGTTGCTAAAGGGTACGCCCAGACTTATGGAGTTGATTACTCTGAAACCTTCTCACCTGTGGCCAAGTTGTCTTCTGTTCACCTCTTCATTTCTATGGCGACTACTTATAGTTGGGCACTCCACCAATTGGATATCAAAAAGGCTTTCCTGCATAGTGATCTAATTGAAGAAGTCTACATGGAGTAACCATCTGGCTTTGTTGCTTAGAGGGAGCATAGGAAAGTATGTCGCCTAAGAAAATCCCTATATGGCTTAAAATAGAGTCCCCGCGCATGGTCTGACAATTCAGTACTGCACTCTAGACATTCGGCATGAGTCAAAGCAAATGGGACCACTCTGTGTTTTGTCAAAGAACAGATGCTGGTATGATTCTCTTAGTTGTGTATGTTGACGACATTGTGATTAGAGGTAGCAACGTCTCAGGGATTTCATCATTGAAGTCCTTTCTTCACTCTCATTTCCAAACAAAAGACTTGGGTTTGTTGAAGTACTTCCTAGGTATTGAAGTTATGAAGAGTAAGAAAGGCATTTTATTGACACAGAAAATATGTCCTTGATTTGCTAAAAGAAACTGGAAAACTAGGAGCTACACCAAGTAGTTTTCCTATGGTTCCTAATCCACTACTAGATGCAGAGGGAAGCATACCATCTGAAAATCCACTTGATGCTGATAAGAGCAGACCATTTGAAAACCCTGAAAGGTACTGGAGACTAATTGGAAAGTTGAACTATCTCATGGTGACTCGTCCAGATATAACTTGCTTAGTTAGTGTGCTCAACCACTTCACGGCATCACCAACTGTTGATCAATTGGAAGCTTTAGAGCATGTTTTACATTACTTGAAGGGATCCCCGGGTCGTGGTATATTATACACGAATCATGGTCAAATAGATATTGAATGCTTTTGTGATGCGGATCATGGTGGATCTAAAAGCTACTAGACGATCCACTATAGGATATTGTGTCTTTATAGGTGAAAATTTGGTGTCCTGGAGAAGCAAGAAGCAAAATGTGGTATACCAATCTAGTGTTGAAGCAGAATACAGAGCAATGACACAATCTATGTGTGAGATAACATGGATATATCAATTGTTGAAGAAAGTTGGTCTCAAAACTTCATTGCCGGCAAAGTTATGGTGTGATAATAAAGCATCTCTACATATAGCTTCCAACTTTGTGTTTTATGAACGCACAAAACACATTGAGATTGATTACCACTTCATTCGAGATAAGATCAAGAAAACTTCATCTCTACAGGCTATGTGAGATCTGGTGATCAATTGGGTGATCTACTCACTAAGGCTTTGAATGGGGCTCAGATTGACTATCTTTGTAACAAGTTGGATATGATTAACGGCTATGCTCCACCACAACGAATTCTAAATGATATAGTTATTTAACGTTAATGGGATATTCTAGTGAAGTTAACTCAAGTTAATGAAAACATTTGGCTTACTAAAATCATGTTCACCTAATAATACACAAGAAAAAGAAAAAAGACTTTTTTTAAAAATAAAAAAAAACCAAAGCAAAACGGCTATTAGACCAGTCTTATTTGTCTATATGTCAAAAGTCACCACTCACTAATTTAAAGACGACCCTAGAAAATGTCTACTATTAGAAAATCAGATAGCGTGTTCAGGCAAAAAAAAATATCAGATAGTATGTAGTTTTTGATTTTGAATTTCATGAATGAAATTTTGGGTGAAGTGATTTAAATGAATTTGATGTTATTTGACAGAATTTGTTTTTGTCAATTTTATTATTCACGTCCACAAGTTTTCATTTAACTTTCTATACATAAATTTTATTTCTCTAGACTTCTGGGTGATGTTAATCTTCCATTTCCCGTTTTGTTATATAGATAACTAATGTATTTTGCTTTCTACAGCTTAAGAAGCAGGGAATGAATGCTCATTGTCTGCTCTAATTCTGCATCCCCAAAACCTGGCCACATCTATTTATAAGCCTAGAAGCAGGAAAGTCAAAACCCCCTTACATTTGACCAATGAAGAAAAGAGAGGTAAAGGATAAGCACTGATATATATTTGCTTAGAAAAACCAAAATAACTCAAACTGAAAACTAAGAAAAATAAGGAATTTGACTTCTTTTTTTCCTTTATACTACTAGAACCAAAAGTTAATTTGAAAACTGCATAGTCTCTTGTTTAATAGTTTTCTAATGGACTTAGTAGTGATAATTATGTGAAGAAAAAGGGAAATACGAACCAAAAAGATGTTCAGAGTGAGTTGGTAAAGAAAGGGCAGACACAGTATTTATCATCCAGTGCACAAGTGGAGAGAGAAACTGATATGTAAGTGTTTTAGAATAAGTGTAATTTACCCTTAAACTGAAATCACCTCATTCAAAACGATTCATAGGTTAATGAAGCCATATGGGGATTAATTCTATAAAAAGTACCTGTTGATAAGCCATTATAGCATCAGCACTTTGAACGCTGTTTGCTTGAGTTGCACCAAGCTTGTTCCAGAGAGAGTAATCCTGTGGCTTAAGTTTCAATGCTCTTTGGAATGATTGAATGGCTTTGTCATAATCCCTAGTTAAGTTGTATAAGACCCCGAGAACTATGTGAATATCAGCATCATCAGGTGCAATTACAGCAGCTTCATTGAATAATCTGGCAACCTGCTCAAGAAAAGAAAATCAATCTTCCCCAATTCTAACCAACAAAACACAAGCTGGAAACGAAAGAAGTCAACTAAGCGCTACATGATGATTAATTTTTTATTCACTTCATTATAGATTGTTTTCAGCCAGAGAAAAGAGCAACTAGAATGACGCACAGCCAAAGGAAACAGACTGAGTCTAAGAATAAACCAAAGCAGCTGGAGAATCACCAAAACAGCTATTGAAGCTCTACCAGAAAAGTGGATAGAGAATAATCAATGATAGTTGGAATAGTGGCTGAACATACACTGGAGGACCGGAGGACTGGTAAAGATGCGGCAAAACATCGAGGAGGGTCCAGAACTCCCCAAAAGAATTGAGCAAAAGCATTGGCCTTGTAAGCAATGCAGCCACTACAGTTTAAATCTCTCCTATACTGTTGTATAATTAATAGAGATATCTTTCTATAATCAGGACTTATGAGAGACATTATAGTGATGAGATGCTATATTGTAGTTATGAGCTTTTGATGCTTCATCTTGTATTTTTCACATCAATAAGAAGTCTCATGCGCCAAAGCTTTCTACATTTCAAACTCTTTCCTTGTTCCATATTCTCTAAACTATTAGAGCCTCAGTATTTTTTGTTGGCCTCCCTCTCTAGTGATTGAGTATCATTTCAACTGCAATGTCTCATTTCTTATTGTCAAACATGCCTCACTAACCATCCTAGGCGATCCCAACTAGTCATTGACCATTGATTGCAGCTCAAAACATCATCCCACCAGCATCTCACCCTGCCACAGTTGACCAAGCATCTCCCTACATAATTTTCTCCTAAGATTCAACAGCTGACCAATCTATAAAATGATATGGTACCATCAGGAGTCTCCATTTTTGCCTCACAATACAGCGATAAAACACCAGTGGGGACCATGGTGACTGAACCACGGAGAATGTTATCAGAAAAAAGTCTTCACTATACCTAGTGCTACAAGTTTGGTTACACCTATGACACTTCTCATGTTTGATATTCCTCCTTTTCACTTCCTACTATTACTCTTTTTTCTTTTTGAGCAAACTAGTATTACTCTCGTCAGTGCAACTAGATAGATATAGATGAATGATTAATCTATATTACAACCACTCAATTAGATATGTCCTTTGTTGTAAGAGTAGATAAGTCAATTCTTACAGTCACCATACCCCAATAGCTAGGATGGAATGAAATATATTCTCAAATATGACTTTAAGGCATCTAGAAAAAGGTTTGTCCCCTGAGAGTTACTGAATCTTCTTTGAAGGATACATAGCATCTTGGGGGGGAAAAAACCACAAAAGGGAAAAAGACGTAATAGCTATATTGTATGGAGCTGAATATCGTGCGATGATATTGGCAACGTGGGAACTTGAGTGATGAAACAATTACTTCAATAATTTCAATTTGTCGATCTAAACAAAAGGGCATTAATATGTAGAATCAAGCTCCGCTACAGCTTCCAATCTAATCTTTCATGAGAGGACTAAACATAGAGAAATTTGTTGTTGTCATTTCATCAGAGAAATGATGCAATCTAGTCTAGGATAAACATCACTAGCTACATCAATTTCAATGAACTAAATGATATTCTCACTAATGCTTTAAGTAGACCATGGACTTTTCATATTTGTAACAAGCTTGGTGCACGACTTCTACGCTCTAATCTTGAGGGATGCCAGGGATGCCCTAGAGAGTAAATAGATCACCTAAAATTTAGGTTGATTTATTCTTTGATTAGTGGGCTATGATTTGTAGGTAATAAATCTATTATTTTGCAGTTTTGAGAGATAACATTATAAATTTACGAGATATTATTTTGCAGTTATGAACCCTTTACACCTTGCCTGCTATCTACCCTATAAATAAGAGGACTCACATAAGTTATAGCTCAACTACATTTCAAAACTCTTCCCTTACCCATATTATCTTCCTGGGACCATGAAAAGTATAACAAGAATAGAAAGAATGCATAAGAAAAATCTTGATAAGGGAAGGCTTTTGTTACAAATATTTTTAGTTTATCGAGGTTTCTTAGCTTGAGATATAACTAACATGCCATTTAAGTGAAACTAAATGGAGAAGAAATAAGTACGACAGAAAATCTAATTCTAGTTGCAAAATTCTAACTACAAAGATGGAATTCGGACTAAACAAATGTCATGCTTTGCGAAGTTGTTAAAATGCTAATATGGCAGTTAGCCAAGTTTTAGTCCAATGAGCTTAGATCTGATGATGCAACTACATAGGCAGCACATTTCTGCCATACTGTCACAATAGGCTTACATCTTACTATTGTGTGTTCTGTATGACGATTTCTCAAATTGCAAAACTAAATAAATAGATATAATAATAATGGACAACATCAGAAAGAAATAGATTCCACTCACATCATTATAAAACAAAGAATCTGGATGCTCTGGTGGTGCAAGTGTTCTATACTTTGGGTGGTTACATAGCCACCCATATAGAAATTTTAAAGCTTCAGCTTGCTCCAGCTCTGCAAGTGTGGTTGAATAAATTTAAAATTTTTGACCTAAGAATCATAATATAAAAGTCTACAAGCTGTTCTCATCTATACTTTCAACTACGAATTAACAGAAACATTAATGAATTGCAAAATAAGGAATTGTCCTGAATAGGTAAAAGCAAAAAAAAAATGAAATTAAAAAACATTTAATATCCTTGTACTTTCAACCTTAAGCCACTGTAAGAAACAATGTTTAGAAACCTAGAAATACGTAGTGGTCTACTCTAAAAGCATGGTTGATTAACGAGCTTTGAGCCTTTGTTAACTTTTCTGCTCAATGTTTCATTATTTATCCGGGAACAGGAAACATGCAGTCACTGACCATTTGTATGACTAACACCAAGAGCAAGAAGAACTTCGAGATTTGTTGGATCAGCTTCCTGTGCACGCATCATTGCCGCAATAGCCTGAGGAGACTTTAACAGTAAGTTACCGTTTAAAGTGAATTCTCTAATGTCTAAAGCACAGTGACAGATTAATGTAACATGGCAAAATTAAAAAACGATTAACCTGTTGAGGGTATAAAGTTCACAATATAAACATAAATTTCATGGCTTATCATCAATGAGGGTAGAACCTGTTGATCATCATCATTTTCAGCATGAGCAACACCAAGCAATCTCCATGCTTGTACATTCTCAGAGTTTTTCAAGACTTCAGCTTCCAAAGCAAGCACTGCTTCACTTAAAAGTCCTTTCCTGAATAGATCTTGTCCTTCTTTAAATGGACTAGGGTGGCCAACATAAGGATTCAAATCTGAAAAGACATAGACGCCCCTTGAATTATCTGGCCGTTGCCTAACAGCAACCTGCTCATTTATGTACCTTCAAATGATCCCCAAAACAAATTGTGATCAATTTCAGGCCAAGATCTCCATGATAAACAAGTAACATTGAACTAGAATTTTAAGATATGCAGTTTTTGACAAGTTATGATAAAATAAATCAAATTATTCTTGAGAGTACTTTTGTAGGAAAAGTTTATGTACATTTTCAGAACAGAGTACAGGGCCACGTAATTTAGGCATCTCTGGGAAGAAGAGAGAACGACTTATACTTGAGTCACTCGTTTAAGGGGGAAAATATTGGCAATTAATTTTAACTTACTCATCATATGCCTGTGCCCATTCATCAGCAGAATTCTCTCCAAACACTCCTTTAGCAACCTGCGCTCCAAATTCTTCTGCCCAATCATTAACGTGCAACTTGGAGAATTCATTTACCCACTGATCATCAGTTGATATGTGCTTCTCGTTTGTTGTAAACTCATCTGCCCACTGTTCAGGTACATTTGAAACCTAAAACACAATAAGCAGCCAAAACTACATCAATAACTAGGAATAATTTACTACCTCATATTCCGATTAGTGTAAATTAAAATAGCTTGAACTGAAACTTTTTTTATCATTTAAAATTCATAACCAAAAACATATAATTGTAATCAAATGAATTTCCAAGAACTTGCATGATTGATTGTCAAGAGTTTAATAAAAGCACAATGGTTTTCAAAACGTCCAACACAACACTAAGTAACAAGTGAAGACCTTAAACACGATAATCCAAAAGAGGCCCTTCCTGAGAATGGAAGTGATAAAATTAGAACCGAGGATATGACCCATTTGGATTACATCAAAACTAGCCTAAAAGAGAACAACCGCCTCTAGGCAGAAGATTATTGTAATCTGTCTGAAAAACAGCATTTGTTATTTGGTGTATGAGAGATCACTCAAGTCATCCGGCATTCTCCACAAAAAACACAACACTAATCTAATACATCAATAGAAATGCAAAGAAAATCATCCTGCTACTAAGGATGAGCACAAGAGTTAGCAATCTCTTCATAAAGAAATTGAAAGCCAGACAACCCCTAAACTCATAAAAACACCAAAACTCATTTTGTGCCTCCTACTCAAAACTGAGAATGACAGCCAAAATTCCATCCCCATCTATCAACAATTAACCATCTAGAAATATAGTCTACCACAGAACTCCATGCTATAACTTCGTTTAGTTTCCTCATTGACTTCCTTCTAGTAAAGGCCAATATAACCCCCCAAAAAAAAAAAAATTCTGAAAATTAAGCGCATTATGCAAAGGAATAGTGGTTGTTCCAAAGAAAAGGGGATTGTTTAAGAAAATATGTTTAATGTAATATATGCCACAGATTTAAACTACTACCAGAAAGAACGAACAAAATGGCTACACTATAGTTGTATTTATACATGCCTTATTATTTAAAAATTCATCAGCCCAAGTATGTCGATTGTCAAAACGTTGTTGGTACTCCGCAGCCCAATCACCAGACGCAGGTAATGCAGTCTCTTTCACTTGATTCTCATCGATAATTAGTTCACCGCGGCTCATCTTTGACACAAACTGAAGAAACTTTGAATTCTGCATGCCATAAAAGCATGCTAGTCACGTTTCTACCAGGATCACAGAAGAAATATCATAAACCGGGAGGTAATATCACAGAAGAAACATCATAAACCGGGAGGCAATATACAATACTAGTTCAGAAGGCCATAGGATATCCTTTTGATAGAGGAAAAAGGATAAAACACAGTAAAAATAAAAAGCACATGAAACAAATAATCTATGTGATGCTTTCAGCACAAGGTTTTTAAAAGAATATTTTGAGTGTATAAGCAAGGAGATTCAAGAGATACTGTGTTTTCTTCCCACTCTGTTTCTTTAAGAAAGCTATACTGTACAACTTTTATGCATCTCAATTCCTGTTTCAACCGAACAAAGAACAAGCACCTTCCATAAAATCTGTTCTAGTCACCAAAGTTAATAAATTCACCCCAACCAATAACCTAAAAACCAATTCAGGGGGCTTCTTGTATTCAACCAAGCAGGATCAATATCCAGCCAAACTCAAAAAGTTTCTAACAAGTCATGGGACACAGCCAGGTGCCGCAGTGTTTTCAAAAAAAAAACAAGAAGAAGAAGAAAATTGAGGAAGAAGAACATGCATAAGCGTGAGGAAACAGAGATCTCTATATCATGAGTTACAGAGACTTTTCTATCATGAGCTACTGTTAGAAAGCCCATGATATTCTCAGATCTCTACCCATGATTTTAGCTACAAGATCAATCCCTGATTATGTGCTACTATATCTCTAATTAATTGTAATTCAATTTTGATTGATTGTAATCGGATTCCCTCTCCCATCCAGACTCTATATATTGTAGCCTATCATATGAAATAATATATAAGTGAATTACTCAAAATAATTACTCATGGTATCAGAGCAGTGGGTTCGGTCTGAACCCAAAATCCCGTCCTAAAACGCCGCCGGAAAACGGAGAGAGAGAGAGAGCGAGGAGAGAGAGAGTGAGGCGTCCTCAGATCTGAAGCCAGAAGCAGGACGTGACCGACACCGCCCCTCCAATTCTCACCGGAAACCGCCGATCAGCGCATCCCCAGAAGCCGGCGTCAAACGGAGCCGCGCGTGAAGCCCACGCGCCGTCGCCAGCGCCATCGTAGGATCTTCTTCGGCCCAGAAGATGAACCCATCAGATTTTCCACCTCTTTTTGGGTCTGTTCGCAATACCCCAATCACCAAAGGTACCATTCCAATGGCCCTTATGTCCAGCACCTCCTCAAATACTCAAGGTAACTCTCCTTCACCAATGGCCCCCTCTAGAACATCTGATTCAGTGTCAGACTTGACAACAGCCACTGAACCTTAAGCTATGGTGGTGGCTCACAAACTAAATGGCAGCAACTATCTTCAATGGTCTCAAAGTGTATTAATGTATCTACGTGGGAAGCATAAGGAGAAGTATATCAATGGAGAAGCAAAACAACCGGCACATAATGATCCTAATTTTGACACCTGGTTCGCTGAAAATAATCAGGTGATGTCTTGGCTATGCAACTCAATGACTCTCGAAATTAGTGAGGGATACCTCCTTGCAAGCACAGCCAAGGAGATCTGGGATGCTGCTAGACGCACTTACGCTACATTAGACAACACTGCTGCCTTGTTAGATCTGAGGAGGCAACTCAAGGATCTAAAGCAAGGAAACTTGATTGTAACACAATACTACAGCACCCTGATAAAGATATGGCAGCAATTGGACCTCTTTGAAGTACATCCGTGGAAGAATATTGATGATGCTAATTATTACAGACAACTAGTTGAAAAAGGTCGAACTTATGACTTCCTATTGGGCCTGAATGATGTTTTTGAAGAAGTGAGAGGCAGAATTATGGGTCTAAAACCCCTTCCATCCCTATTTGAAGTCTTCAGTATGGTTAAGTTCGAAGAAAGCCGGAGACACCTCACTCAAGGTAACCAAACTCCAATAGATGGCTCCACATTAGCCACAAGAAGTTCCCAAACATCAGAGAGCTCTGAAAGAAGAGGGAACAAGTGGTGCAATCACTGTAACAAGAAGGGCCACACCAGAGATGAATACTGGAAACTGCATGGAAAACCAACCCCAAGGAGACAGAAACAACGACAAGATGGAAAGAGCCACCACACCTCCTCCGAGGAAAGAAGTGATGATGGAGACCATTTGACCAGAGAAGAACTTCAAATGCTTCGTAAGATGCTTGAAAAGCAAAACAAATCAAAATCAGTTCCCAACGTAAACTTGATCCAGTCAGGTAATTCTATTATTGCCCTTAATGCAATGGTAACTAGTGATGAGACATGGATTGTTGACTCCGGTGCGACAGACCACATGACTGGTAACAAGTCCCTCTTTAAAACTCTCAAATACTCCCATGAAAACCTTAGAGTAAAAGTAGCAACTGGCCTATATACTAGAGTTGAGGGTGTTGGCACTGTGGCTCTTTCTGATGATCTGGAAATTCATAATGTTTTGTTTGTTCCTTCTCTCACTTGCAATCTTATATCTGTGAGCAAATTGACTAAAGGACAAGTATGTCGGATGATTTTTGATGATGTTAAATGTGTTTTTCAGGATTCGACCTTGGGGAGGAAGATTTTGATTGCTAAAGAATGGGATGGACTCTACTACTTTGAAGGAAAGGATATGAAGACTAAAGAAGCAAGGAAAGCTATGGTTAGCTCCAATTCTCAGAATAAAAATGTAATGTTGTGGCATCAAAGATTAGGCCACCCCAGCTTTGATTATATGAAGCATGTGTTTCCAACTTTATTCAATAAAAATTCTTCACCTTTCTAATGTGAAACTTGTCAAATTGCCAAACAAACTCGTGCGTCTTATCCCAAACATATTTACAAACCCACTACACCGTTTACGATGATCTATACCGACATTTGGGAACCAGCCAAAACTAAAACCCGAACAGGCACAGCATGGTTTATTACATTCATTGATGATCATACCCGGGTTACATGGGTGTACCTTATGAAAGAGAAATCCGAAGCCCTACAAATCTTCAAAAACTTTCACTCCTTTGTGAGAACCCAATTTCAAACTCCCATCAAAGTTCTGCGAAGTGACAATGCTAAAGAGTATATGAGTGGAGCCTTTAGGGAATTTCTTGAACAACAGGGAATCCACCACCAAACCTCATGTGTTTATACTCCTCAACAAAATGGAATTGCCGAGCGAAAGAATAGGCATCTTTTAGAAGTAACCCGAGCCATTATGATGGAAAGAAATGTTCCCAGCCTGTCTTGGGGAGACGCTATGCTAACCGCAGCCTACCTTATTGATAGGACCACACAGGCGGGACAGACCTACTCACGAAGACAGAAGGGGATGCAAGTAAATGGAAGTGATGCTTTATAAGTTGACTTTACAATTCCTACCTTTTTGGAGAAAGTGTCAGTAACCTAGGATGTTTTGTGTGCTGTAGACCTGGTTAGTATTAGGATATTCTGGGGGACTGTGTTGACCATTTTTATTCGCTAAGCATATAGTCGTTGGGTTACCCCCGGGAAGGGGAGGTCATTTTTGAAGAGTGTTTTGGTGAGGAGAGTGCTAGCCTCTCGAATGCTAGGTCTAGGAATCATTTTGTGATACACACTGTATTTTTCTGTTTGTAACTTCTTCCCTGTTTCATTAAGAGGAAGAACGGAGTAATATTATTGCGAGGCAGTATTTAAGTTATTCGGTTCTGGTTCCTATCATTTGGTATCAGAGCCATTCGATCCTAAAGGTGGACTATGGCTGAAAGAACCCAATCTGGAGTCAAGGAGTTGGGAGAAGAGGTGGGGAGAATGTCGAGAGAGATGGCAATTCTCAAAGAAATGATTTTACGGATGGACGCTACACTAGAGCAAATGCAGAAGCACGTTGAGGAGTCAGTAAAAGGGGGCCCGCAGCGAGAAGAGGAGGAAGCCGATAGCTTTGGACGGGGCACGAAGGAAACAATTAACTACAGGAAACTGGAATTACCGATCTTCGCTGGCAAGGATCCTATTGGTTGGTTCTTCCGCGTTGAGCGCTACTTCGTGAATGCTATCACCGAAAAAGAGAAATTAGCTGCAGCGGTGGTGTGCCTGGAGGGCAAGGCTCTAAACTGGTACCAGTGGAGAGAGACAAGATATCCGGTGAGAAATTGGTCAGAGTTCAAGCATGAGCTGCTAAGAAGATTCCATTCGGCCCAACGAGGAGGCGAATACCAACTCCTATTTGCGACTAATCAAGAAGGCTCAGTGGTGGAGTATGTGGAAGAGTTCGAGCGCCTCTCAGCTCCACTCAAAGACGCAACAGAGGAGTGCCTCATCGGAGCTTTCATTAATGGCTTGAAAGCCGAAATCCGAGCCGAGTTGAAGCTGACGGAGGTGACGACGCTGAACGACCTAATGGAGAAAGCCATTTGCGTGGAGGAAAAACTGAGAATAATGGGCTTTCGGGTCAACCGAACCTACAACCCGAACACGGGATCAAAAGCCCACTCCAGCCAGCCCTTCTTTTCGCGTGTCACACATGTACCAGAGCCCAACCGAGGATTCGCTTCTGCAACGTCCCTCGCGAGTTCAGACAACGTGAGGAAGATTGAGAACAAACCAGGGGAGTCGAGAGTGACGAGTTCCGCGACCGGTTCTTCGGTCAAAAGGGGTGGGAGTTCACGCCGGCTACCAGATTCTGAGATTGCAAGAAGAAGGGAATTGGGGTTGTGTTTTAAATGTGGAGAAAAGTATGGGCCGACTCATACTTGTCGAAACAAAAATCTGCAAGTAATCATACTGGACTTGGACGAAGAAACTGAGGACGGAGGAGAGGTTGGCGAGCATGAAGAAGAGTCATCATTCGACAATCAGGCTACCCGAATGAAATTGTCTCTAAACTCCATGGCGGGATTTGGTAGTAACCATACAATGAAAGTACGTGGGAGACTGGCAGGGGAAGAAATTGTAATTCTCATCGACAGTGGAGCCACTCATAATTTCATTGCGGAGGAGTTGCTAGACAGAATCCCATTGGAGGTAGATGAG